CCTAACCCCTAAAACCCTAAACCGTCTTCAAAGGAATCAGGTTCAATCACCGATGAACCTGGCCATGCGAAGGATGCCCAAACGTCACGTTTGGGGGCTTTACGGGGATGTATAAAGGGACTCTACTGGNNGCATATAATAGGAATATACCTGCCAGGGTCCTTATATTCCATTATATTCCTGCTATATTCTTGGGGTTCCCTATTTGGGGTTCCCAGTAGAGTCCCTTTAATGTATGAGCTATAGTCTAAACTCCTAGTATCCCCCTCAGTAACCCCTATAGCAATCCCTTATGCAATCCCCTATCATAAAAAGGGGCTATACAGGAAAGCTTCCCCCCCATAGTGGAGAATCGGCTGGGCGAGAAGATGGAACATGGAAATCAAAACAGTGAGTGGGTCATGGGGATTGTGGGGTTCCAACAGTTACGGGCCCTTTTTTGCGGTCCAATCATAACGACAACAACAACAATAATGATAATGGTTATTACGATTATTATAAGGATTATAGTGCTTGGTGTGTCCACACTGGCTCCCCCGATTTATGGAACACACAATCTGGGTATTGAAGGTCGAGCTCAGTCAGTCGAGGACCAGAGATTCAAGTTGGAATGCCTCCATTGTGTTCCCCAAAATCGAGTTAGACTGGATTCCCCTTTCGGTTGTAGAAATTCCCTAGAAGAAAATAGTCTAACTTTTCTCCACCCACCCCCAAACCCTGAACACTAAACCATATTCTTTGCAACATCCCTAGGTCAGCCGGGTTCCCATCTCATTGTTCATTTGATCCTCCACTGTTCTACCCATTTAGGTCCCGAACACTAAGCTGTAAACTCTAAATGCTAAACCCTATAAGCCGTAAACCTGTAACAATCAAACTGTGCTGAATGAAGCATCTGACTCCACCGGGCACGGAGATTCAGGGTTTCGGGGCTCAGAATACCATGGTTGTACCTACAAGGTTTAGGGTTTAGGGTTCGGGTTTGGGAGTTTTCGGGGCTTAGAGGTTGAGGGTGCGTGGATGACGTCCTCCCACCATTTTAAGATCACCAACATACTGTGACTCCATTTCAGGTAGGGGGTATATACTCTGTTGCAAGGTTTCGTCCATCTATATATAATACCTAATTGGACTTACACACGTCCCACTTTCGATTCCTTTCTAGCTATACCATGATAGCTGCATACTTGCAGAATGCCCACTGTGATGAGGTGTGTGTTTTACTGCGAAAGAATAATCAGTATTCTCGTGAGAGGGCCTATATCATGTCAGCAGAACCCAAACCCACAATTAACAAAGCCCCTCCCTTCAATATTGATTATAATAGGGATCCTGATATTAAGGTCCTTAAACGGAGGGGGTTTATTAATTAGGGGTCTACATTATGGTGCAAGGCTAGGACCCAAGCATGTAAGGCATTGACAGGGTGATGGTTTGGGGCTTGCGGCTCGGGCGTTAGGGTTTCAAGTGTTCAGGTGTTGAGGGCGCACAGTTCAGAACTCAAAGTCCGGATGTGGTACAATTGTGAAGCCGGGTCCCCAAAACATTATCATGGAATTTGAGCTGAAGCAACCCTAAACCCGTATCCATCCTTCTAAGTTCCAGAAGTGCCCTCAGTTTAGAAATCTGGGTGGTTATCAAAATCATGGTCCCTTTCTGGTTCCCTAAATATTATATGCCGTATTATAAAAGGGATCCAAAAAGGGACCATAATTTTGACAACCACCCATCTGATTTCTCTGGAGCCACTCTGGGTAGGGCCCCGTTGCTGCTGGATCTCTGCTGCTGAGAAGTCTGACCTCGAGTATACCTAAATTTCCGAAACTGCCAGGATTTGGCGCACCTTAATTTGGTAATTTCCCAAAATAGGGGGACCCCAATATAGACCCCGATATACTATAATCCTCATTCTGGGGATTCCCAAAATGGTACCCCTAATTCTGGAAACCCCCAATTTGCAGATAACGCTGGTCAGAAAACACGGCGCAAAGGCTCAAGAGTAAAGTTGAATTTGTTCCATGGCCTAAACCCTAAACCCCAAACCCTGCACTCCACCCTAAGCCTTGCATCCCGTACACCTAGGCCCCTTGAACCCAGAAGCCCTAAACATGGAGCAGGCTTGTAGGTGGGTAGGCTGGGTGAGCCTGGTGAGCCTGGAATGGAAGAACTTCGCCTGTGCTCATGAAAAGTACCTTCCATGCATGCTAGTTAGGCAGCAGGTTGGCTCAGCTACAGGCTCTCCCGGTCGGTACATGTCTACACATCATTACAAATCGGTCGCTAGATCGTGGATGAGAAAAGCGGGCACCCATCGCACATTGCTGAAAGCATGGTGCGTGTGTTTTACTGTAATGCCGCAGCGGGTCTTTTCCCCAAGACTCGTCTTCATGAAAGGAATGCCATCTGTACAAGAGCTCGCAAGAACCCTACACTGTAACAGGACCCTCCTTGTACCCTTAAATTGGGGTCTGCGGTCCCTTATGGTGGGTAGTAAGGTTACATAGAGGGTAGACGGAGGGTACTCAAACTTTGAGAAGTAGTTCACTTCCCAAAGCACCAAGAGCCCAAATCTGGCTTTTCAAACGCATGGAAGTAACTCTCCAGGATTTCTTCGTCTTGAAAGTAGTCGTCGATTCGATCCTCATCATCCTCATCGTCATCTGGGATGGGTGGGTAAACCCACTCCTCCTTCCAGGCACGACGGTTCATCATCTTGTCCACGGAATTCTCGAATGCTGCGAGGAAAGCCTTGAAGGTAGTTATCGACTTCGATTTCTTGAGAAGGACGCCCAAGGCCGTTTTCACCACGTTTTCGTGGATGCCACCGCCACAGACAATGCTGCAATCCAAGTAGGCAGTGTCCAAGCGGCACTTCAACACGCCGTAGTCCTTTCCTTAGTGGTTGATCGGGGGGAATGGAGGAAGAGATCCATACAGGAACTATATGTGATTGAAAATGGTATAATGAAGTTATTCCGGGGTCATACGTACTTCCTCCGCTAGCCAGGCCAAGGAAAATTCACCCTGATGTACTCCGGGTTCTCCGCATCATGCAAGTAATAAACCGTGACAAAACTTGATTCTTCGTGATGCTGTCGGAAAGGAGCCTAAGACTAACAACCTTGTTGCCAGCCCCTAGCGCTACAATCTGCTGCAGCGTCAGCAATGTAATTCCCGCTGCAGCTAGACAAAAGAGCTAGTGAAATGCGACAAGAGCTTAATACTCGTAATGTATATTCCCTAATAAGACTGTAGGCCCTAGAGTACTTTCCATTTGCTCTTCCATTCCGTTCACTGCCAACAAGCAGCAAATAATTCTACACCCAAGTATGTCCCTATGCATTCCCAGTTTCCATTTAGTATTCCATCTGACCCACGATCCAAAAAACCTAACCCCAACACTGGGGCTTGCATAAGCATTTTCATTCCTTCATTTCGTACGCTACACCCTAATCCCTGTGTTCTTTACTTGCTACTTGCAACTAGCAAGTGGCCTGCCCGCCACGGACTCGACAAGTCTAGAGTCTAAACACACTTCATTCCATTCTACCAACCATTAAGGGCTTGGAGAACGGACCATTAGAACGCACCCCTGCTCCCATTGCCGCATGCTACGGTACTTCTATAAACCGTATAAAACATGGGAATTCCAATTAAAGGCTCCCGCCTAGAACCTTCAGAAACCACCAAACCCCAAACCCTAAACC